CCGCCGAGCTAATCCGGCCTGCAGGTGAGGGAAGGTGACGGGCACCGACCCGAGGCCGAGGCTCGGCTCTGTCCGACAGGGCAAGTAAAGCGACGTCGGCCCCAAAGGGCGCGGTCAGCTGTCGCGGAATTGGACTTTCCAAGAGTTTGCTGACCCTGCGGAGCTGCTAGGACGGAGTGAGAACCCGACTAACGAGGTGATCATCACCTCCCCCGGCCTGCGGGCAGGTGGAACGGCCGGCGCGGTCCTGGGCTCAAGGAAGAGGCGCAGTAGCCCGCTGGCCACGGAGCAAACTAGAGTAACTGGACCCAGGAGGCCACCGCTGGCCATGAGATGGTCACCCCTCGGTGCAGCCAGGCTGAGCCCCGTCGCGCCTTAGTGCAAAGGGGAAGGAGTGACGGTGGCTGGCGATCAGTCTGCAGACTTTATCTGGCTCTGCAGGCGCAGATTTCGTGCTGGGTTTCATCTGGCTGCCTACCCTGCGGCCCGCCTCCCTCCATCTGAAATGCTCTCACTTCCCTTTCTCTTCTCGGGGCTGTTTTCCTAGACTGCAGAGCAGTAAAGCAACAGCTGCCTGTCTTCCTCCTGAGACTTCGCAGCCGCGAGCTCGCGCAGCCGCATAAGGATGAGCTGGCCAGCTGCTGAAGCAGAGCGGTGGCGCCAATGCGCCACTCCCAGTGGAGAAACTGAGCTGGCCGGGAGGGAGCCCCTCAGCTGGGGGTGGCCAGGGGGCTAGGGTGCCTTGCACACTTCCCTGCCCACACGCAGCGTCACATTGCCTGAGGACAGTGCGTGGAGGGTGGTAACTCATCCCTGGAAGGCCTCTCCCCGCTGGGGCCAGTAGCCACAGGGCCTGCAGCAGCAGTGCCAGCGCAGGAACGTAAACAGGGCGGCGCCCGCGGCAGAGCTGCGCCCGCCCCCCTGCTGGCGATAACGGACAGGGCCGGAAAGGGAGTCTGGGCGAGGGGAAGCCAGACCCGGCCCTGCAGCCAAGCGCCGCGCCTGGGCCGCTTCTTGCTGCGGCCCATTCCGAGTGGCTCTGCTGGTGGAGCTTTCTTACGCCAAGTCTGGGGCCAGGAGGCCGCTGGCCCGGTAACAGCACCGGCCGTGGGCGAGACACTGCGGAAAGAACCTAGCAAGCGTGTGGTGTGCGCGGACCACCCGGAGGTGTCAGCTGTTACCCCAGAGCTTGCGCAAGACCGCACCTTCCCCCACTGAGCAGCCCTTCAGGTATTTGAGGATGGCGATTAGGTCTCCCCGTAGCCTTCGCTTGCTCAGCACTGACACAGCGCTCGGCGCACCCCACTCTCCGCCGGCGGCGGCGGCGCTGGTCCTCCGCGGGGCTCCGGGGCTGCACAGAGCAGTGAACAGTCAGAATCACATCTGCTGAGGCCCAAGATCTTAATTATTTTGGAGGCAACTGAAAGTTTCGGAGGTTCTCATGTAACTACTGCTATGAAGATCTCTGCATTTCCTCGGAGAGGCGGAGTGGGCCCATTCAAGTTGGGCCAGATTTACTTGTAGGATAAATGCAGCCAGTGCAAGTTACATTCCAGTATTATTACTGTGGAGAACATGGTTTTTCCTATTTTTACGCCTTTTAAACAAGGAAAACATGGCCTCTGGCACCTCACTGGAGACAGCGGCTTCTGAGTGTCCCCGGCTCATCAGTACTTCTCAGACACAAACTCAACTCTGAATCACACCCAGCACCGTTAACTGACCGTAGTTCGCCCTGGTCTGCGGTGACTAGCAGGCGACTGTCCCGGAACAGCTCCACTGACCTGCCAGGGTCAACGTGAGGCTCGCAGCTAGGAAATTACGTTCTCCTGACGGACACGACCGCACAGAGCACCGGCAGTACAGTCACTCGGGGGCTACGGTGAACTGAGGCACAAAACAAGATCACTGTTAGAGCAGGGGATGAGGGCTGTGTGTGACCCAGAGAGGAGCAAACACCCCTTGCCCCAGCCAGCGGCTGCTGCTTCATCGCTCGTCACAGACAGCCAGCAGCTTCCGCTTCACTGACCTGCCCTTGAATGAGGTCAACTGAAGACTCATCCTGCCTCACTGGTAGCACCCACTCCAGTGTGAAGCCCCGCGCCCGTGAAAGTTGCTTCTCCCAAATCACCTCTAAGCTAAGCCCTCCAGTGCTCTGACCCCTCTTGCTGAGAGACCCTGGCCCCGTGGCGTGCTCTCCCTCGCAGTGAACATGCAACAGCTGGTTCAACTAGTGTCCCTGGGCCGCTAGCTGGAGTGTGTTAATAAAGGCCTACCGTGTCCAGTTTCCCAAATCCACGCTCTAGAAGTCTCTAGAAATACCTGGCACAAAGGAGAGTTTGTCAGGACTTGGCTGGAATGAATTCATCTTGGGATCCGTGATCACAGGTTCATGTGCGAGTGTCCATAAACCAGCTCTTTTTAATAATCCAGAATACGTCAAATCAACATGAAGCTTCCCAATGTGTGCTTTCTAAAACCCACAACAGCATTTCAGTTATTTGCCCACTTTCAAATGACCATCTCGATGCAGCCCACCCGTCTTCACCCCCAGGTGTAAGCTGGGTGACCACCCAGACGAGAAAGCAAGAGGTAGCAGGAGGTACGACGGGGAACACTGGCCAGGATCACTCTCTCTACCCCCAGTCCGCTGTCCCTGTAGACCAGACACCCGAGCTGTTTCCCCTGCGTCGGCCAGGGGCTGCAGGAACGGACGCCAGTCTCGGCTGACTCCTAATTGGGTTGAAAATGCTGCAGCCTCCGGGAGCTGAGAAGAAAGGGATGAAGCGAGACTTGTGTGTCCCTAGAAGAACCCCGCCCGGCCCAGCCCCTCCCGAGCCAGGAGGATTAAGGCCTTGGGAACGGAGGAAGGGCCGGGCAGGAGGGGCACTAAGTGCCATCAACACTCAGAGGGCAAGTGCCACCTGCTCTGCTGTTCCAACGAGGGCGGATCCGGCACACACATCCGGGCCCCGTGAAGCACACGCACCCTGCGTGGCGCCCCCCATGACCCCAGGAGCCCTGGTTACCCAGGCAACCTGGGGAGAGTCCATGCAGACAGAAACCAGCAACAGATGGGCCTATTTTTACGCTAGACTAGGTGGCTCCGGCTCTTTAGCCCAGTGGGCCCCGACCCCTTTCACTGGCATCTGTCCAACCTGGCCCGAGCTAATGATGGTGCCCCATGTTGCATGAGTTCTAGTTACAGCTCCCCTCTTCCACAGAGTATCTGAGCAAGTCTCACTGCCTTCATTTGTTAAAAATAAGTATTTTTATTTCTTTGGAAAGTTGCGGGCCCTGCCCTATGGAGCTCCAGGCCAAGCCAAGGTAGCAACTCCTTCCCTAGCCTTCGGGCTGGAGTATCATGGTCCCGCCTTCCCAAGGCCCGGGAGCAATTCCTGTTTTGTCCAGCTCAGCTAGGCCCCAAGGTGTCTGAAGCTCCTGCTAGGCCTCCTTGCCACCCCTCCCCACGTCACCTGGCTGTCCCTTCGGGCGGGGTAGCGTTTTTTCTTCCAAAGCCAGGGCTGAAACCTGTGCTGTGCATGAGGGCCACGGACAGGGATGTCCCCGACTTGCCCTCAGGCAGTCCTTCCTCTGTGCTGGCTTCAGTCTGCACTCCTGTCAAGCCCCCTCTGGGAGGCTCGAAGGGAGGTAGGCAAGAGCACCCTCACAAAAGGGAGCCGAGAGAAAGCACACCGCCCACCCGTCTCAGCAGCGAACTCCCCGTGGTCTCTCGCCCCAGTCCTTGCGTGGGCCTGCAGACAGGGCCTGGAGGGCTCAGCAAGTGGGGAGGGGCCTCGGCCCCAGCCCCAGGCAGCTACGCCGGGCGTGTCCGTGAGCCCCGTCAGTGCGGCATGGCTGTGATACGCATGCTCTGGGACGCGATGGGGTATGTCACCATGGGAGTGGTGGTGTGGCTCATTGTGATTCCTGCCAAGGGCTGGGCCATCGACACGGCCACGGGGGCCACGGGGGCCACGGACACGGCCACGGGAGCCATGGAGACGGGCGGGGGTGCCATTCCCTGGGCGATTGTTTGAGCCAGAGCAGCTGACAGTGGCGTGATCTCTGGGTTCAAGTGGGGGGGGGGGGGGGGCGGGGCAGCAGGAGGTGCAGCATTAGCCGGGGGAGCGGCTGGAGCCCCAGCGGGAGCCACCAGTTCTTGCTGGGATACGGGGCGAGGCTGCAGGGCCTGGCTGCTGAGTGTAGTGTGAGTCTGGGCGATGCCATGGTTAAAAGTGGCAACAGTGCCCACGGTGGGGGCCAGAGTCTGCTCAGTCGCCGGGGCAGTAGAGCTCAGGGTCATGACCTTGGCCTGGTTGCGGAACTGGGCGTTCTGCTCCAGCAGTACCTCGTTAGTGGCCAGCAGGTTGCTGACCTGCTTCTTCAGCTCCTCCACCCGCTTCCTGAGCATGGCGTTCTCCTCCTCGAGCAGTCTGCATTCCACGCCTCGGGGTGGGGCCAGGCTGTACTCGTAGGATTCATAATGGGGGCCGTCAGGGGCGCAGCACCCACCTCGCCGGCGCTTGGGGCCGGGCTCGTGGTCCTCAAAGCCCCGGTCAGGGAGGTCGTAGATATCGTAGAGATCGTGACGCCGCCCTGGGGGAACGGGGCCTGCCGAGCCCCCGCCACCAGCACCTCCTCCGCCACGAGCATCAAACTCAAAATCCCGCTGCAGGTGCCGGAACTTGCACTTGGCTCCCCTCTGGCAGTCACCCTTGAGAAAGTCGCGGCAGATAGGGACCTCCTCCTTGCCGTTTGGCAGGTCAGCTGGGGAGAGGCCCAGGCCAGCTGCCACTTTCTGCCTCAGCCGAGGCGGAAGCTCGCCCGTCTTCTTATACCCATCCTCGTCTTCCTTGGAGCCGTGGATAAAGCGGCAGTTTGGGCGACTGCACTCCTTGTTCTGGAAGTCATGGCAGAAGATGAACTCGTTTTTGCTCACCCCCAAGTTGGACACCTCACTCATGTCTGGGTGACGGTAGCGGCAACGCTTGCCCCTCTTGCACACGTTCCGCAGGAAGTCTCTGCAGATGGCATCCGAGCTGGCGCCGCCACTGCCTGCCCCTGCCCCACCGGCCTCCTCGCTGCCGCCGCCTCCAGGGCCTCCGCCGCTGCTCCCAGTGCCGTTGGCATAGCTGTCCCGGTCAGGCATCCTGGCCCCCCCCAACTCAGGGCTTGCTTCCTTCTCTTGCCACCCTTGGTGACTGCTAGGAAAGAGGAGAACTGTGTCAAACAGGAGCCCTCCGAGAGGCCACTCTTCCGACTACTAGTCAGGCAGTCAAGCGAGAGGCAGGCCAGAGAGGCAGCGGCTTTGGAGATAGAGAACCTGAGAGATGAGCACTTGGCCTGGACTGGTCAGCTTGTCAGAAGTCCTGCCCCGGCCCTTGTGCCCCGGTCTGGGTCAGAATGATTCGCACTTGCCTAGCTAACAGAAGAGGGAGGGAGTTGGGGTGAAGCCACCTCATCTCACCAATGATAATAGGCCAAGGAGGGGGCAGGGAGAGAACAGAGCTGGGTTAGATTTCACCTTATTATAGTTATGGAAGTGGAATCAGAACTGGTATTAAGTGTCTGAATAGGCTATAAGGAGGCTGGGAACCGTGGCCAGAAAGAGAGGGTGAGCACCTAGGTCTATGGGTAATGGAATACCAGTGACAAAACTTTCCTTAAGCCCCTTTCCATGGATTTCAGGTGAGAACTGTGAAGTATCCGATCTCAGACTCCAGAAAACCCTGAGTGAAGAGAGAGCAGTCCCTAAAGCTGTCATTTCTGAGTACTCTCCCTGCTCACCACCACACTCAATCCCAGCAGTCAGCCCCCCAGCCCCATTTCAGGGGTGAGTATTACAGCTGGAATCTCCAAATGAGAGACTCCCAAAGGACAAAATCATTTCTGGCAAGGTCAAGATGGAGCAAGGAGCTAACTTTTCTGAAATCTTCTTTCCCCTATCCGATACCTCTCCTCACCCTCCTTGGGAAGATACCACTGAGTTCAAACCACGCTGTTCCTCACCCTATAAAGATCTCTTATTTATAGACTCCATAAAGCTTGTTAAGTCTCCTCTTTCCTAAGAGAGCTCTGGAATGTCAGTCCACAGCCTTGGGTCGGCCCTCCTCTCTCCCCACCCCCAACTGAGCCTGGGAGTCCCACGTGTCTGGCCCGCTAAGCCTTTCCCAGGCAGGGTTTAGGCTCCCCCTGCAGTTCATCTAGGAAAACGTCACACTGTTCCCCCTTAAGTTAAGGGATCCCCGATTTGGCCTAGATGTCCCCCAACAACCCACTCCACTGCCTTCTGATCTTCTCAAATGGACAGAACAGAGTTACAGGAGAATATGTAAAAGAGGAGTCCTTTTCTTCCAGAGATGTAGTCCCTGGTAGTAAAAATAACCAAGGGGGAGATACAGTGAAAATCACACGCTTTTACTACAAGGGAAACGCCCAGATGAAAAGCGAAGGCCACCTGTCCCAGTCTGACCACGTGAGTCCCACAGACACAAGCAGTCACGGCTCCTTCCCACCCAACTGTCCCCCACGTGTGCGATACCTGAGGTAGCTCAGGTGAAGTCCGGGGCTCCTGTGGGTCTCCACCTCCACATCACTGCTGGGTTCTGAACGGGAAAAAACAGAGTCTTGGGTGGGAGAAGGGGAAAGTAGGCAGGAACTACCAGCTGGTCGTTACAAGAAAGAAGCGGCCAGGGGCCAGCGCGCAGAGCCCTGGGTTATGACCTCAGGCAGCAGCCTGATTTCGTCTTTGAGGACAAGCTGCCAGTGAGAGGAATCAGGAAGAGAATATGGAGCGGTGCGGGGGGCGGGCTGAGGACCAGCTCACAGGGAGGGCTGTGGGGCGCCCTGCCTAAGGTGAAGGTGGGTGTGGGGGCGGCGCCGGGCTGGGGCGCACAGCCGAGTGGGGGTCCGTGCACGGCGGCGACTGACAGTGTGGTGGGACGGCGGGCTAGACTTGGAGCCGTGATTATGACGCTTCGCAACACCCCAGAGTAGTTTGCGAAAAGTCCTAGGAGTCCCCCGCAGCGCGTGCTCGCGCTGGCGGACTCTCAGGGCCGCCCGGTTCCGTGACGACAGGTGGACTGGGCCAAGGAGCGCGCAGTGAAGAGGGGCCGGGACTCCAGGTGACATCAGGCTGAGGGATGGGCAGGGCTGTGACGTCACGGAGCTGGCGTTTGCTCACTAAGCGGGGTCAGTCCGAAAGGGGGCTCGGTCCAGGCGCGTGAGAAGGCCAGCTGGGTCGCGGGGGGCCTGGAGTATCCCGGCCGAGCGTGGCCGCTGGGCCGGCCCGACTCCTCCCCTCCGGGCGCGGCCTCCACCTAAGTCTCCCGCCTCCCTCACCTGCCGCCGCCGCCGTAGTTGCTGCTGCCGCCTGCCGGTCCTCTAGCTTCGACAAAGAGCCGCCTACCCTGTCGCTCTTCCGCTTCCTGCGGAAGAAACGACGCTCTGGGCGCCGGACCCGGAACCACACTCTATGGTCGCGAGGCGCTGGTGCTACTGGCCGCAGGAAGCTCCCAGCAAGCTTTGCGTGTCGCCATGGTAACGCAACCGAGCCGCGCGCTGAACACCACCAAAGCCGGAACTCCGCGCGGGACGGCAGACCCGCCAGCAGGGGCGGCGCCCGCTCTTGCCGCTAACTTGCCCGCCACCACTTGCTATCCTGGCCGGCGCTACAGCCTCTGCGGGAGGTAAAGGCCACCCGGCACAGTCAGCTCCCGGGAGCGAGGGCCCCGGTCGGCCGCCGGGGCGGCAGTCGCAGCCACGCCCACACCGCAGGTGGTGCAGCTCGATTTTCTGGGGCGTGGGGGTAGCCCCGACTGCACTTAAGAGCTCACACTAACAGCCATAAAAACCACGGAACAGACAGGGTAATTTTTTTTCTTCAGCTAAGAAAGCAGAAGGGATGATTTATTGTACACGTGTTACATTGAGCCAACAGAGAACAGAACGAGTCCAGAATGTCACAGGTCCGGGGCAGAGGACCAAAAGGGGCTGGTTTTGGAACGAGCAAGGTGGGTCTCTCAAAGGTGTTCGCAGCGATCAGATGGTGATGGATGTTCTAGAGTCACTGAGACAAAGTTCTAGACAGTAGCATGCAGTCCAACAATTTGTACCAGCGTCCCTGGTCTCCGGCTTTCTTTATATTTCTGCTCCTGTGGCTTCCATGGTGGTACCAGTTTACTTGGACCTCTGCCTCATCTTTCTTCTTTTGCGCTTCAGCCTGAAAAGCAGACACAGGAATGCATCTTCCCACACTCGAGTAGTCCCCACCAACCTTAAACATGTACAAACACATCGTAAAAAGATAAACACGGCTTGTGTTCACTCCCGCGTCTGAGTAAATAATCGACCTTTTTTTTCACACAAGCATCCTTCGGGGACCCCAAACTAAATGTTCCTCCAAAGGTCTGCTCAGGTGTGCTCCCCCCTCCCAATGCTGGGGGCATTTAACATACCTGCGCATTCGCTTCTTCCTCCACTGGTAACCGAACATAAGCAGAGGCCGAGAATCAAACAAGAGGTTATCAGTTTCGGCAGCAGGTTTATACAGGGATGTATCAAGGACTAAGCAGGTTCTTGCCCAAGCATGAAAGTGCAGCAAGAACCTATCTGGAACCCCCCACCCCGGACATAAACACCGAGAGCGGGTGCTCCCCTACTGCCGCCCTCCATCCCCATTAGCCTATTCTTCGCACAAGCTATCCTCCCTCCTCCCCTTTTCCACCAAGTCTCGGGAACCCTTAAAAAGCCAGTGGTTTGGGGACCATGGCGGACTTGCCTTGACTGGGTTTCCTCCCTACTCCTTAACTCCTACCGCCTCCGCTCACCCCAGAGGAATGCTTACCTTGGCTCTCATGGCGCGGAGGCTTCTATGGGTAAAGAGAAAAAGACTACAGTTAATTTGCGACACTGATGGTTAGTACAAAGAGCAGATGTCAATGGATTGTAAGCAGACAGTGAGCACGCCGGCACTAACACTCACCAAGGAAGATGGCGCTAAGGCCGAGAGAGCGGCGGAGGCCCGCCTATTGGTATTTAATGGGTCGCTCGGTGTCGTCACTTCCGCTCCCCAGCCCCTCCCCAGGGGCGGGGCTTTCCGCGGAGCTAAACAATGGCTTTTGGCCTCTCCGCGCCAGACCAGTGATAGGATTAGGCGTTTTCTCGGGATGGCAGGGTACTCTGAATTAGAGTTGCCAACTCCCCTCCCCAGTCCTATTGTAAGCACATGGCACTATTTCCACGTGAACTCCTATTTCCGATGGGACCGAAATGTGCAGCGTGAGGACAGCACTTCCGCCCTAACTCATGGCCTCACGGGAGTTGAAGTTTTTTGGTGACGCCTCCATCTTACCGGGGTGGGTGGACAAAAACTTAAAGTTTTCCTGGTTCGCTTTATTTTCTGGACGAAATTACTGCAGGAAAATTCGATCTCAGAATTTCCGAAGGTTCTAAGATTCCTGAATATTAATGTAAAGTGCGAGCCGAGAAAGCCGTCATACTACAAAAAGGTTCTTTTCACGACCTACCTGGGCTCAGGTTTTCCCTAGCCTGCCCTCTTTCCCCACAAAGCCTCAGGCCGAATAGCCCAGATTCCTGGCCACAGCGCCTCCTTAAAGATTTTCCCTCTAACTAGAGGTGAAGATAAAAGCAGTGGACAGGGCAGTCCCTGGTAGCACAGCGGGTTGGGAGGCCGTGAAGCTAAGCTAAGCCAAGCACTGGTCACTGCAGTGTGAGTTCGATCCCCCTTCTGGAGGTGACCCACATGGCGCCAACAGACCTCCCTTCTTTTAAGTATTTATTAAGGACTTACGGTCTCTCAGTAGGGTCAAGAAGCACCTTTTTAAAATACCCAAACATTTGGCTATGGAAAATCTGAGCTATGAAGGATGATGGAAAACAGTGCTTAACTAAACTATCTTATTTAAAGTAATTTAAAGCTTTCATTATAATCCCTTTTGGGTTACCTTTATGCATTTCACTTTTAACTTTAGAGCATTTGTTTCAAATACTTAAATAGTTCTAAGTATCAGAACGTGAGGTTCCTAAAAACAAAAAGAAGGGCCCTGCCTGGTGGCAGTGTTACAGCTCAGCAGTACCAAGCTGTCTGCAACAGCCTAAAGGAGTTGGATACCCGGCCAGGGAGTGACACATATGGCATAGACCTGTCTCGTGGCTGCTCCCCTTAGCAGTGTACTTTTGCTAATCTACTTGTTCTATTCCCCACCCTGTTTCTGGTGAATCTTCTCTCCACCCCTGCACCTTTGGCCTGTACCCTCAGTTCTGTGTGCATAAACAAATCTTAAGAAAAACAAACAAAACCCAGATTTTTGAGTTGGGGGTTGGGGGGGGAATCCACATGAGTACTGCCTGTTGATTGCCTGTTACCTATACAGTCTCATGAAGAACTTGTAGTTTAGCTTTGTTGTATATTATTTCAAGTTCAGCAATGCTTTCCACTTAGGATACTCAGATCTCACTATCCATCAAATCTCAGCCAGGCTCTGGAAAATTAGACCTGTCACAAAAGGCATTCTTCCTGGCTTCTTAAATCAAGATAAACTAAATACCATGTTGTATTTTATTACAGTACACATTAAACATGTTAGTCCTGACCAATGAATGCATCAGCAGCAACTTAAGTCACAGGGCCCTCCTGGTGGCGCAGTGCAATAAAGCACAGCACTATGAAGCTATCCGGAGCAGCACAAATCCCATCCCCAGCCAGGGAGCGACCTACATGGTGCAACAGACCATCTCAGTCTCCCTCCTGCTCCTGGGAGCAGTGTACTTGATTAGATCCCCCTCCCCATTCTCTGGTGAGTCCTCTCACCCCTCTACCCCCACCCCCCACTCTTACATGCATAAATATTAACAAAATAAAGTTCCAAGTGCAGATTACGTTGACCAACATTCCCCACCTCCATCAAGCAAGCAGCAAAAAGGACATGATTGAGTAAATCCAAATGTATTTTAATGCCATGTCATTTTCAATGTTTAAAAACCTCATAAATTAGTGGGAGCCCTAGTTCCCTGGAACAGCATGCCAGAGGTACTGAAATTCGTCAACTTTCACTCCAAACCCCTAGCAATTCATCCAATCCAAGTCCACAGCTTCAGAAAGCCAGGAGTTGTCTCTTCCATCAGTCTGCTCCTCTGGTTCCTGGTCTTTCTTTCAAGGGAGGGAAGTCAAAATATTTCAAACAGGGAACAAAACCACAGTTGAGCTTCCAGCTCATATTTGTAAGATGGAACAAAGAAAAACCCCAATGACTCCAAAGAAATGGACATGGTTGAGATGGATTACTTCTTTACAACTTTGCGGAATTAAAAAAAAGTCCTGAAGAACAAAAATTACTAAAAAAGATTCACAAATGGGGATGCATTTGGTAGATGAGAGACCCCTTGTAAATGCAGACTCCACTCCTAAAAATGGGAGGGGCCCGCCAATCTGGGTCAGAAAAGGAATCTGCCACATGTGGATAAAAACGATCTGACTGAAGAATTGCTCCCCTCTATTTTGAGGCCAGATACCATACTGGGGGTGAGGGGGGAGGAAAGAAGTAAGCCCCAATAGATGGAAAAATGCTGACAGTGGAGTGGTATAAAAAACTTTTTAGAAGTGGTGGCTGCCCTGTTGTCCTGGGGGCCTTGACCAAGCAGAGGGTCGTAGAAAAAGGCTAGAAAGAGGGGCTTGAAGACGGTGGATTTTGACTCCTGATTTTATTATTCAATTTCTCGTTTCTATTTAAAGTAGTCTTCGGTGGTTGGGAAGCCTGGCCTCCCAAGACCAGAGTCAGTTGGAGCTGGTTGTTGTTGGAAAGGGATCGGGTTGGGGACTGAGATGGGGGCAGGGAAACCCCCGCTCTGCTGGCCATCCTGGGTGGAGAAGACGAACTGCACTTCACAGAGCCTGGGGTGTGGTGGGAAGGGGATGAGGCAGGAACGGCAAGCTGGGGAGATGGGACCCACCTCAGTCCCCAGCTTCATTCTCTTCTAATGTTTCCCCACTGGTGGCGTTCTCTGCAGTCTTGGAGGCCTGTATTCAAGGCAAGGAGAGAGAGACTACTTGCAGCAGTGTCTGATGTGGCTGAGAGGGGGGAAGGAGGACAGACACTCTCTACTTGCTACCACAATCCAAGAAGGTGAATTAAAGCGAAGCAGGATCACCCTGCCACAGAGTGATGACTATTAACACACCTTCTTTTTTTTCTTTTTCTGAGTTTTCCGGCTTGCAGAACTCTGGAGGAGGGCCTGGAAAAGAGAAGAAAACAAAATTTGAGGAATGAGTGGAAACACGAAGTGTTACTCAGCACTGTGTAGCTTGACTCAGGACTTTGCTCACATTTAGTCTCCACTCCCCACCCACTAACCTTGAGCTCTGCATCTTGGACCTCCATCTCGGACTTGTAAAGATCAGGCTCAAAGGGACCACTGGTTATCCTCATGGGGCCGTTGGGCATGAGCAGAACTGTAAATTTAAACTGGGCAACAAATTCACCTATGGGAAAAGCAAAGTGTTTTGAGAAAATGTTCCTTTGTCATAGTCTTTTCTGTCAACTTTGGAAAGTCTCAAAATCAGGGCCTCCAGACTGAAACTTTCAGAACTCACCCTCCTTCTCATAGAGAACATTAAATGGTTGCAACAGTTCATGTTTGGCGCACTCCACCACACCCATACGGGCCTTCTTCTCATCTTCAAATGCTCTAGGTAGGGGAAGACAAAATTCAAATATCCTTAACCCCCTTACAATCGTACCATCTTACTCATGTCTTAAGATAGCTCCTACTCTCAAAACCCTACTTCCTACTGCTCTTTATATTACCTTCTGTGAGAGAGCTAGGTAGAGTGAACACATGCAGACAAGAACTACAAGTTTTGGTGAAAGGGGGAGGGGAGTGTCCCTCGGTACATGGTCAGTCAGATTGTCCCGTCCAACTCCAGACCTTGGAAGCTGCAGCTGTACCTTAAAGTAAACGGCATGGCATCAAAACGCCTTTCAACCTCACTGAAAAAGGCACGTGATGTTTTCATTTTCAGGCCATATTGTTTAGAAGGATCTCGTTTGTAAATGGTGGTTCTTTGTCCTGCATCCTTGGCCTAAAAGAGTGACAACACATTGGTTTGCTGTCCTTAGAATATACCCTCAAGTGACCCCTCTTTATTACCTCTAATTAACCTCCTCACCTTGCCCTCTCCTGAGCTGACGAGAACATCCACAGCATATACTTCATGTACCTCAAATTCAGCTTTTTCATGGTCCTTCCTTAAAAAAAAAAAAAAAGTAAAATAGAAAGGGAACCATAAAAAAAGCAGTAAAGAGTTTCTGGTGTTTGGAGTTAAGATTAGGCTGAAGAAAAAAACATTCATATAAGTAGTCTGATATGATGCAAAGTGAAGGCTGGGACTGGCACTTACTTCTGCTGGTCTGTGGGATTCTGGATAATGGTTTTCTCTCCATCGATGACATGCTGCTTCAATTGGTGTGACAGCATACCTGTAGAGGGACAAAGCTTATGATACCAGCCACCAGGCTTCCCAAAAAGCTTCCAAATTTGCTAGGGTAGGCAGTGACAGTAAAAAGCCTGGCTGGGGAGTCCAGGGCAGTCACAGGAACCAGACAGGTGGGATACCACAGGGAATTAAGGTGGTTTTTTTTTTTTTTAAACAACATTGCCTTTTGGCCCTCCCTGGTGGTGCAACAGGTTCAAGCACAGTACTATGAAGTTGTCCACAGCCACTGCAGCACGAGTTCAATCCTGACCAGAGAGTGACCTACAGGGCACAGCAAACCTCTCCTGAATCACCCACTGCTCCCCTCAGCAGTGTATTTCAAAACATCTGCCTGTTCCACTCCCCACTCTGCCTCTGGTGAATGCTCTCAGTCCCTCACCCTTATACCTCTGGCCTGTACCCGGTTCCTATATGTATAAATAAGTAAATCCTTTTAAAAAATTGCCTTTTCTTTATCAACTTGGGTTTTTTGTTTTTTTTTTTTCATAGAAGAACTAGAGTACAGAGGTGCAGAGGTTGGAGGGAGAGGATTCACCAGAGACAAAGTGGGGAGCAGAATAGGCAGATTCACTGAACTGCACTGCTGAGGGGGAGCAGTGGGCATGTAAGAGCTGTACTATGTGGGTCAGCCTTGGCTGGAGATCAAACTGAGGCCATCATGATGATAGTGCCGAAATTCAGCTCCTAGGCTAGTTTCTGACTCCCCCAGGATAGACCCTCAATGGAGCAAAAGTAAAATTATGCTCAAACCATTCATACTTAAATCCTCAACCCAATTATCTGAGTTCTTACCTTCTATTGGTGTGCAATTAAATGAATGGGCAACTTTATTCCAGGCTTCTGTCACTTGCGTGTTCTAGAAATACAAGACCACATAATAGGTGAGATACCAAAGACTATTAAATTTTCTCTATCATGAGACTAAGCATGAAAGAACTGGGTGTTCTAATATCCTCCATCTACCAAGTAGAGCGATTCTCATTCCTAGTCCTAGCAACCCTACACGTTTAACATACCTTATAGTGGCCTATCACTTCACAAAAACTTTCACAGGGTGATCTACTTTGAACAGGGCAGATCCAGATTCTAATTTTGAGAGGAAATGGAGGCTTAGAAAGGTTACATGACTTACCCAGTGTTAAATTAAACATGGATTAACTGAAAGAACCTGGAAAGCCCAAGCTGTCCAGTCATTAATTCCAGTGTTCATTATACCTAGAATTTTTTTTTTTAAAGATTTATTTGTGCATACAGAACTGGGGTACAGGCCAGAGGCTCAGGGGCAGTGAGAGGCTTTACCAGAGACAGAGTGGGGAGCAGAACAGGCAGATTGATGAAGTATACTGGTGAGGGAGCGGCGGGCAGGTCAGGAGAGGTCTGCCACACCATGTGGTCACCTCCAGGACAGGCGGGAATCGAACTGATACGGAAGTGGCTTTAGCTTTTCAGTGCTGTGCTTTAACCTGCTGTGCCACCAGGGAGGGCCCATACCTACAATTCTAACCTGAGAAGGGACAACAAACTCTTTATCTCCCCTCCTACAATTCTAACCTGAGAAGGGACAGCAAACTCTTTATCTCCCCTCCTTACCTCTTTCAAACATGACTTGATCCTCTAAGCTATAGTTTTTACACAGAAAAGTAAATAGCCACAGTTAATATTATTGAAATACATGCCAAGTACCATGATAATCACTTTACAAGGATTATCTCACTCATCACAACAATACTGTGGGGATACTGTACTTTTTTTTTCTTTTACAAAGAACAAATTTCACAGATGAGGAAATTTGAATTTTAAGTTATTTTTAAATAGTAAGAGGTGATAACAGACTGAGAACCTAGAAAGTGTAATTTCATTGCTATACAATACTACCTCCAGTGATGATTCATAATTACATAGTAATAAATATGCAAAATTACTATAGCTAACCGAAGCGTTTACTATGAGCCAGGCATTATTCCAAGTGGCTTGTAACAGCGCTATGAAGTAGGTCTTGTAAGGAAACTAGGAGAGGCTTAAATTAAAATAGTGCGATTAAGTAACAATGGAAATAAAGCACAAATTAAAAGGTAAAGAAAAAGAAAGCCCAGAATAGGAGAGAGAAAATGAAAGATGATGCTTTATTTACTGACCAGGTCTCTGGAAATTTAAGTTACTTTATGATCCTTGGGCTTTCTATTTGTTGTGCAAGGTACAGAACAACTCTTGGTTTCTTTACAACCAGTTTACTGGTACCATTGCCTCTCTCCTGTCCTTTTTATCATACTTGTTTCTATATATGTTTAAAAACAGTATTTCCCATGTTCTATTACTGTAAGCTACTATTTCAAATTATCTTGCACATCTAAAACATGAAAAAGAAGGTTCACTATAATTTGGTGAGGAAGGGACCATATATTCTCAATCATCCTACACGGAACTATTTAGCATTGAGCCTTTTAGTTCCTGTCTCTTTTCTTCAGAAATCCCACCCTAATATATAGCTCATTTTAAAAAGCTATCTGTATACAAAGCAACTGTGGGAGAAGTTAGCAGTTTGATATAGAATAGCTGTAGATGCCTAATGAATCTTTGCCTCTCTTAAGCCTTGTGGTTGAAATAAACAGCTTACCTGGTTTCCAGGTTTGACCAGGCGCAGGGCAGCTTCAGCACAAAGATGAGCTGCCTTAATGACATCTGCTTTTCGCCCTGTTACTTGGGTCCCCTGTAGATAAGGACTACAATCAGTACCTTCCTAGAAAGCTCTAACTTACTGGCTCATCCAGTATCTGTGTGCCCCTCATACAAGACCGGCAAGTGAACAGGAGAAATAACAGCCTTTCTCCTTTTAAGGAGATAGTTTCAAAAGGAGACTATCTGAAAAATGTAAGTAGTGGTAGAAGGGGTGGAAGTAAAAACTAAAACAGTGGAACCTGCAGCCCCATGTCCCCTGAGGTGAACAGAGTTTACAGCAAGCCACCTACCTGAACTACATCAACCACAAAAGTGTGAGCCACATTAGCAATGAAGCCATCCACGTGGACCCCGAGGTCACTGAAAGAGGCAAGAGCAGAACAGAGCGTCAGGAACTGGCCCTGTGCACATGCTTAGGGAAAAGACAGTGCTCTAAACAGATCTGAGCTTACATTTTTACTAAGTCACCTTCCTTGAGAATATAGTCCTGGTCACTCTTCAAAGGGGAGAAGTGACATACACAGTTATTTACCGAAATGCTGGTGGGAAAGGCAATACCTGTAGAGACAGAATCATCAGCAAGTCACTGTCTGGCTCTCTCTTGGGAAAATCGGGAATCTTCCTTGAGGTCTTGTTTAACTGGCCTGGATGGGGTCGAAAACTGTATCCCACTTATCCCAAATATCTCAACCAAAGCTGTGGTGGGGGGTTGTATCATTTACAGTAACAAAAAGGACAGCATAAGGGCCATACTTGGGAATCAGAAAGGGGCTGGTTTATTACCTTTTTTCATTTCCTTTTCTTTCTTGAAAATTTTCCCTGTCTCTTCCATAATCATGGAATCACCTTTCTCACACAGGCTCAGTACCGACACACCTGAGCTGGAGGCTTCCACCAAAGACCGCAGAACCCCTGGGGACAGAAGCCAACTGTGTCAGCTTTTCAAAGTGTTCTGAGTTAGCACCCAAACAATACCTAGAAGCTGCACTTGGAGTTTCTAACACTCCCTAATGCCACTGCCCTAAGGCTGAAAGAGGGAACAAAGGTGCCTCTTGGAAAGGCAATCTCTAAATTCCCACCTTTCAGTCCTAAAACAAAAAGGTAACTGCTACCTCCCCCCTTATCTGTGCCAAGTGGATACACGGATGAGGATACAGTCTGCCTCCTCAGGCACAGCTGACTCTCCAAACATGGCATCTGTGGTAGGAGAGATTTACAAACTTCAACCCCAGGGTGCTTGTCAAGTCCCCCAGGAGGTGAATAGTAACTACAGAACGAGGACCCATGATGTAAGAAAGTTAAATAGTACCCCACACACATGCAAAGCAGACCTGACAAAATTTACAGGCGTTTCGGACAACAGGAAGGTCGCTTTGGAATTGCTGACTCAAAGCTGATGCATTGTTAAATGCTACCTGCTTCCCTTCTCAGACACTCCAATTAGGTGTCAGTAACCTCAGCTTAGGTGTATTTCCTCACAAACAAGCCAGGGAACTTAATCTAAGGCTTGTTGCTTTCAAGGGTCTCAAAGAGGTGCTGTGACCCAAAAGTTTCAAAATGGTCCATCTGGGATGGCAAGTGTCTCAGAAGTTTTCCTCCCCGATTCAAGCCACCATCAAATGCTGAAATGTACCAAACTGGAGCCGGTATACTCCATGTCCACCCTGTTTAGAGCATTGCTCTGGGCATGGGATGCTCTCTCCATGGTCCAGCCTGAACTTCAGGTTCCACTTCTGAGATCTAAGTTTTGGTGATTCCTTAAAATTCTGAAGAAACCCAGCTTCGCGATCCCAGACCCAAGGCGGCCAAAATACACCCTCCCCAACTATCTTGGCTGTCAGAAAGAGTCGTCAAACAGCCCGAAGACTAGCATTTTCTGTCCCCCTAACTTGGCTTATAAGAAAAACAGCAACTGAGACATCTGCTCTGGGAGAGGCGGCTGGAAGAAAGCCCAAGCGCAGGTGCAGCAAGGGTGACTTCTAATCGCACCCGAACCCCCCACTTTTCCAGCACAGGTCACTCGCGGGCCTGGTTGAAAAGTTAGGGGGTCTCCAGCGTTGTGAGACCCCTAAGCTCAACGTGAAGGTTCACGACAGCCACCTGCACAGACCGAAGGGCTGGTCGGGAACGACCTGAAGAAAAGCGGCCCTGCGAGGCCTCGGGGTGCCCTCAACGGCCCCCGGACCGGCCAGGATAAAGGGGAGCCCCCGCCAGGGAAGGCGCTGAGGCAGAGGGCGGACGGCTCCGGCAAAGCACGTGGCAGGGGAGCTGGGGCCGGGCAGGCGGCGCCAGGC